TTCTTTCCCTGCTTTGCATTTATTCTATATGTTACTCTACTTTCTATTAATTTAATTATTTATTTTTATCAGCAAATAACTATAAGGTATTTACTCTGAATATTTCAGGCTATCTAAGACTGGGTTGTATGGCAAGAGACCGTGGGCAGATTTATGATGCTTCTGATTGGTACAAAGAAGCCCTGCGTATGAACAATGAACATCCTGATGCCTGGTCCTTGATGGGAAACCTTCATCTGGCCAAGAATGAATGGGGTCCCGGACAGAAGAAATTTGAACGTATCTTGAAGGTGTGTGTCAAGAGGACTGTTTCTGTCAGATAGAAGATGAAAAAAAAGATTGTACATAATTTGATGTCTGTGTTAATGACAAATCTTCTGGAGAATTTAGTTGCTGTATTTAAGGCAGTAAGGATGTAAAGATGATAATTTTTAAACATTTTTGGTGCATATTTACATTACAAACATTATCACCAGTGACATGATATACTTTATTGCAGAATCCCAGCACCACCAATGACTCCTACTCCCTCATTGCCTTGGGAAATGTATGGCTGACAACACTACACCAGCCGAACCGTGACAAAGAGAAGGAGCAGAAACACCAAGACCGAGCCCTTGCCATGTACAAAACTGTCCTTCGTTCTGACCCGCGAAGTATCTGGGCAGCGAATGGCATTGGTAAGTTGTAATTGTTATTGTTTTTTTTTTTTTTTTTTTTTTTTTTTTTTTTGTGTGTGTGTGTGTGTGTGTGTGTGTATAGAAGCGTCTTTATCTCTATTAGAGTATCCAGTTTTGTGGATTTTCACGAGTGTAATCAGTTGTCTATGGAACATTTTCATTACCTTAAGAAAGATTTCAAAGCTAACAATAAAAAAACATATTGATATCTATAAGATTTTTTGAATCGCATTTAAAAGTAAAGTCATCTTGATAGTTCACCCATTAGCAGGTAGTTATTATCTGGTTTCTTTTCTTCTGTAGGTGCTGTATTGGCTCACAAAGGTTACATCAATGAGGCACGTGATATATTTGCCCAGGTGCGAGAGGCAACAGCAGATTTCAGTGACGTTTGGATGAATATTGCCCACATCTATGTAGAGCAGAAACAGTACATTAATGCAATACAGATGGTAAGAATAATAGCCTTTTGTTTTGGGATTATGTGTTTTGTTACCCACGGATGTGCACTGGATATATATGTGTGTGTGATTAATTTTATGTTCTCTTTTTCGTGATTTGTCTACATATGTATAATATTGGCAATTTTATCATATTCTTTCAGTATGAAAATTGCCAGAAAAAGTTCTTCAAGTATCCAAATGTAGAGGTTCTCGGGTACCTTGCTCGAGCGTACTTCAAGGCAGTAAAGCTGAAGGAGGCCAAGTATACACTTCTCAAGGTGATTAATATTATTGTTATTATTATTATTGTTGTTGTTATTATATATATTTTTTCTTCCTTGCTTTTCTTGTTTGCCTGTGGTACTTTCAGAAAGGAGAGAATAGAAAGTGAAAAAGGATTTATAGAAGTTAGCAATAAGCAGTGACACATGCTTCATTTCAAGTTGTTTTTATGTACAAAACATCCTCATATGTAAATATGCATCAGTGAGGAAAAATTTGTTGAATTTATCCTTTTAGGCTCGTCATGTTGCTCCACATGATACCGTCATCCTGTACAACTTGGCACTGGTGTTGCAACGACTAGCCACACAAGTGCTTCGTGATGAAAAATCCAACCTGAAAACTGTGTTAGCAGCTGTACATGAGCTGACACTAGCTCAAAAGTGAGTACTGAGTGCACTTGTTTCAAGATGTATGTGCAAATGCCGTATTTTGGTATATGTGAATCTGCGTCAGCATTTTTGAATGTTGTTTTATGTGAATAACTTCAAGTAATATTTTGATTTTCCTTTGTTCAGGTACTTCCAACATCTCAGTGTCAATGGAGATCGTCTGAAATATGACTTGGGGGCAGCAGCCGCGGAAGCCAGCCAGTGCCGTGACTTGCTGTCTCAGGCTCAGTACCATGTTGCTCGTGCCCGCAGGCAAGATGACGAAGAAAAGGCACTCAGGCGTAAGCAGGATGAGGAAAGGCAAGCTCTCAAGCAGAAGGTTGTGGAGGAGAGACAGAAGATGGAAGAGAGGAGGAGGCTGATGATCGAAGAGAGGGTCAGTATACGAGTCTCGTCCTTTGATTTCTTTCTTTTCGGCGGTTTCTGTTTCTTTAAATTCAGATTATATTAAATAGCTAGTAAGGTCAAACTCAAATCCTGTTCTGCGATACTGGAAATTTCAAGTCCCTTCTTTTTCTTTCTTTTTCAAATTACGTATATTTTTAGTAATAGGTAAAATAGGAAAAAGTGCTGAAAGGCCTTGTGTCTTTGTGGTAAATTATTTATTTATTTATTTATTTATTTATTTATTTTATTTTTTATTTTTTTAGATAGAGCCTTTCTGGTTTGATCTATAAAAGGAAGAGATAGATATAGTGGGTATACTTTCAATTAAGTGGTACATTGAAATTCATAAAGCTACAATTAATATTACAGATGAAAGCTCGAGAACAGTACAAGGAAAAGATGAAGAATGCTGTCATCATAAACGAACCAGCAGAACCTGCCAGGAAAGGAGGAAGGGGAAGGAAGAGAGATGTGGAAATCCTCTCAGATGGATCAGGTGGAGGAAGTGGACCTGAAGGGGAGAGCCGACCCAAGAAGGGCAGAGGAAGGAAGAAGAAGGAACCAGGGTAAGATCCTTATGATTTTAGCTTTTGTTTTGTGCTTTCTCTCTTTTTATGCATCTGGGAAATGTATAGAAGGGATGAATAAAGTTGGTATTGATGTTTTCTTTCTGTAATTGCTTTCCAGGGAAAGGAAGAAACGAGGAAGGAAAAGCAAGCAAGGAAGCGATGATGAGGATGACGACCAGCCCCGAGGCCGCAAGAGAGGGAAGGGAGGAGCCAAGGGCAGAAAGAAGGCCTCCGAGGACGGCCTTTCAGCCAAACAGAAGGGACGTATTGTGTCCAAGGCAACCATTTCAGACTCCTCAGATGACTCGGACAACGAGCGCCTCAAAATTGCCAGCGGATCGGATAGTGAGGGCGGGAAGAGCAAACGCCGGAGGGTCGTGTCAAATTCTGATTCCTCGAGGTCTCGCTCCAGGTCAAGGTCTGGGTCAAGGAAGTCCTCACGATCAAGGTCGCGTTCCAAATCGGGCTCCAGGTCACGCTCGAGGTCAAAGTCTGGCTCTCGCTCCAGGAGTCGCAGTGGATCCAGGAGAAGTGGCTCAGGATCGCGCTCCAGGTCACGCAGTCGTTCTCGTTCTGGCAGTAGATCCCCGGCTAGGTCAAGGTCTGGCTCACGCTCCCCAGCAAAATCGCGGTCAAGGTCAAGATCCGGATCGAGGTCAAAGTCAAGGTCACGTTCCAGATCTAGATCCGGCTCACCTCGCTCTAGGTCTGGCTCTCGCTCACCGGCCAGGTCAGGGTCAGGGTCTCCCCGCTCCAGATCTGGGTCACGGTCCCCTGCTAAATCTGGGTCAGAGGTCGGCAGGGGGGGTGACAGTGAGTAAACTGGTGTTAGGGTTGTGGCTGTTCAGAATTTTGGCTTCATCCATCTGTTATTAAAACTGCATATTTTTTTGTGATGGATTTTATTGTTTACTTATTTCTTATCATTACAAATTTGTCATTGTGAGGAATATTCATTATCATTAAATGTAGAAGCAAAACTTCATACAGTTTTTAGGTAACAGTACCTATGTATAGACAGGTTTCTTAAAGAAATTTGGCTGTCTATGTGTAGACAGATTTCATAGAGTTTTGGCTGTCTAATCTACCTATCATGAATTTGCAGAACAATGAAAAATCTACATGTATCAAGCATGTATACAGTAGGTATTATGCATTAATGAGGATTCCAAAATTCCATGGAAAATGCTACTTACTCAGTGTTTGTATATATGTGGGTGTGTGTATTACATGTTCACGCACACATTTACATATATCTACACACACGCACACTTACTGTGGAATAGATTACATCATGGATTGGTTAAAACTCAAAATGAAGAAAAAAAAAAGTGGGCATAGTTGGAATGAGAAAGGTTTGCAGTTATGATTTTGGATTGAACTGAACTTTGAATTCTGTCCATTTTTAAGAATTATATTGTCCCAGTTGTATCTGCTGTTGAGAATTTCAAGCATCTACTTTTTCGGCTAGGATACCTTTTGTAGTAGTACAATATACATTGTATTCTTTGTATTTGAGATCATAGTGAAGGAAAATATTACCAATTTAAGACAGTTCTGTTAATAAGTAACTAAAAACAAATACATTTTGTCAAGAAAATAATTGAAGATGTGAATAGGACATAAAATCATACTTATGAATATGACAATGAAAAACATAATATTAAGTACTGTACCCCGAAAAATATTATTTAATAAACTAAAAGTTTTTTGTGCGCTTTTTCATGTTATATTCCACCAAACAGCAGTATTTTCATTCATCAAGTTATTTTCATATTTTTTTTAATGAAAGCACATTTACTTTATAAAGTTTACAAAAATACCAGTAAATCAAGACAGCTTTTTTGTCCTTATCAATGGCAACTGAACAAACCTCTAAAAGAGATACTGGTTTGAATTGTATGCTTTATAAATACTAAACTGTTTTGGGTCACATTTCAGTATCAAAAATCTAGGATATATATATGCCTTTGCAAATTATTGGACGTGGAATAAATCGTTGAACATTATCATTATCCAGGTAACTAGAATAATTCTTGACTTAGTCCTCATGTAGAGATAAGCATGAAATAGTTGCTTATGGAGATATTTTAATCAACCAGAAATGTTTGTACTTCACTTTTATTTATATATCTAATACCATTTTATTTGTTGATAAATTATGTTACCTTGCTTCATGTTCATTTCGCATTTGTATTGCGAAGGTAGTTTGTATCTACTGCATACGGGATGATTAAGAGTGACCAA